GTGTGGGTGTGGGTGTGAGTAAGGGTGTGGGTGTGGGTGTGGGTGTGGGTATGGGTGTTGGTGTGGGTGTAATTAAACGGGAAGATGATGCTCATCCACACCCTAAAACATTGCTAATGATTGATGACAAATTGAATTTTGGTGGAATATTCATTCCAATATTTAGAGTTGATTAAAATAGTTTATTTCTTTCCAATGATCAATATGTTCGTTCAACATTATTATCAATCCTATTATCAGTTGCGGTTAGTGAAACGCTATACTATCTGAAAAATTTATAACAATCTATAGTAAAACAATCAGAAATTAGTGTTCATAATCTTTTATTTGCAATAGATTGTTTAGAAATATTCGTCTTAGTATTTTTATTATATAAAATTTTCATTAAACCATTCTATCGTTTAATATTTCCGAAAATTCCATCGAATGAGCAAAAATAAACAATTATATGAAACAGTAATTAATGGATATGTTAAGTACTCGGATAATAGATCTGGTAATATGGATATAGATGAATATTATAATCCGTATTCTGTTTAAAAAAAAACTTTCGTATTGTTTCATTTCACAACTATTTTTTTGCATTTACTTGTGAAATTTTTATATGTGAGACAACTAAACACAACAAAAAGTTTGTAATTTAGACAGATCAAAGTGAGAACCTGACATGTCTATACTGTCACGATAGTCTAATGGAAAAGGTTTGTCTTTTGCGATCGATAGAACAAGAGAGAAAGAAAGAACTGTCTTGAAAAACGAAGATAATATTTGAATCATATTCTGTCGTCTGGTGAAAAAGATATTCTATTCGATCTGCAATTAGAAGTTAGTCAAGAAGAATGTCTGATGGAGAATGAAAGAGTTTGAACGAATGAGCAAAAAGAGATTTTATAACAAACCTTGTTCTATTCGACAAGTATCCTATCAAACAAATTGATAATGATGTTAGTGGATCGTATAGTCTTTACTCTTTCCACCCGTTGAAACGTCACATGAAAATGAATATTTTATGTTCGTTCGGTAAGGTGGAGTGAAATGATAGAGATTCGATCCTATAAACTTCTATGCAGTAATAACAGGATAACAGACAAATGAACTACTTTCGTTTTGAATCGCTTGTACATGAAGCTAATCATCAATAGACAGAAGTATGTGTGTAAATGTGAGTGTGAATCGAGAAAAGACTGCAACACTCTCATCCTCGTATATGTCTATCATGTCGACTTAATAAATGTTTTACAAGTGAAAAGAATACAAATAAATTTCGAGCATCAAGATCAAGAATAATAAAAAAAAAGCCATTTCAAAAATACAATAAATAATTCAAAAACAAATAAATTAATTCGAGTAGGAATGCAACGTCAATCAGAACAAATGAGATTCTTCAGTTATTTTTTCAGTCGAAATTTATTTCTATTCAAACAAATTTTGAATATATAGGCGTCGTTTAATTTCTTTTATTGATGTAGAACAAATTATTTTTATTTCTTCAATTTCAATTTGAAGCTCATGAAATGTGTCTTTTCACAGTTTTGATTTCAGTTTATGCGAGGTAATTTTCTTACGACTCGGCTGGAGAGTGGACAAAAATGTTTGCCAAGAAAGTTTTGTTTCTTCTATATTTCGGTGTAGAGACATCGCAGATGACCAATATTTTCTTTTGAAAGACAGTCGATGATTTCTCCTACAAACTTTGTCTGCAACGTACAATGATGCTCAATATTGATCATACACCTGACAAATGACATTGTTTCTTCAATATTTGACGAGGGTGTGGGTGTAATTGTTTAACTTCTCTTTATTTACATCCATACACCCAACTAAAATAATGATTGAATATTTTCTTGAAATTTTAGTCTTTATTGTTAACAAAGGCTTATAATAAGAATATTATTAAATGTATGTTTTTACAATTTCAAAAAAAAGAACTGAGATACGAAGCAAAGAGATTGAAACAACAGTTTTTCATTTTATAAATTTGTTGAACATTGACAAAATTTGTGAGAATCAAAAGAAAAAACTTTTAAAAAATCTTATTTTGTGGAATTCATATGTTTTCGACGAAAATAGTGAGTGTAAGTATTAAGTCGAAGTTTTCCGACTTTCCCCCATTATAGACCTGAGCAACTAGTGTTAAATGTTGTTGAATATTCTAGCTTATGTAGAATATGTGAGTTCTACATTTCAGCCCCAAAGTGGCTGCGCTAACAAGCTTTTTTATTCGAATGTAGTCGATAAAATATGGAAAACCTTGAGTATTTTTATTCTGTTTGAATAAGCCAATGTCTATACCATCAATATTTAATGGAAACGAATCCTTTTGAACACAATACAGAAGAGCATATTAATATTCAACTAGCATTTCTTCGAAATATGCTTTTGCCATGTTATCATTGTACTTGTACAAAATCGATTTATTGACGGTCTTTCTGGATCAATCAAATATACATTTCATAAAACAGATCATTTATATTGAGAATACTAAAGTTAAACACCTGTAGGATTTGATATTTTCCAAATATTATCACTCATCTTGTTAAACCGAGGAAGTCTGAAATACTTAACGATGTATGTTATCGTATGTCAGGCAAACTATTGATTGTCTCAACATGTTGACCATTCATAGTCGGCTAGTCAATAAAATTCTTTTTTTTTCTTTTCCATTCTATTCTCAAGGAGCTCGTTTTATGAGTTAAAACGTTATGCAAATCAATGATTGGAATGCTATAGATCGTTCATTCATTGGTATTGTGTGTGCGTATAAATACAAAGAGACTCGTCTCAATTACATGCATTGATCGGTTGTAAATCTTCAACTTAGGGCATACATGTTTACAATGGCATGGCGTCACGCTACTGCTCCACTCAAAGAACAAGTGCAGATGAAGGAAGTGACAAAGAAGAATCTCAAAAAGAGATCATCTTCATGTAATAGTCATTTGCTTTATCCAACATATACTCTGTCACACGTGATAAGAACATGAGCGATTCTCAATCTTAGAATTATTCAAAATCTTCTCAATAGTGAAGAGAATTCTTTTTTTTATTGATCAAGAGAACGACACAAAGACATAAAGAATTATTGTCAAGCTCTTAATAGCCTAATGGATCTATCCTTTATTTTATGCTGAAAACAGTTAGCTATTGAAGAACTTATTAGATTGCTTCAAAGTCTTATGAAACATACGTTCAAGATGCTTTACCTGAATCGTTGTGAATGTCTACAAGATAAGTTTTCAACGGTTTCATATTATTCAGCACGACATATTCACCAAGTAATTTTTTTTTCGAGTAGAACAGCTCACCCTCTGTGCAAATTGAATCCAAAACTCGACTTACTGCTCATAACCATATTAATTGAAATATCACTAACTTAATAAAGAAGATACTAAACACTAAAAGTTTGTGTAAGTCAGAAGTTGTAGGTATGTGTGTATGCATAAAAAGGAATTTAACAACCACATCCACACCCCACACTCAACATCCTCTTGCTGACGAACTATCTTACTCAAGTGATCGAGAAAGTATTGGATACAGTGTGTCACAAATTTTGTATGTGTGAAAGTTAACGGCGCCCTGTTGAATCTCGACAAGACAGTTTTGAAAAATATCAGCAAATTTCTTAGGTGATATAACTTAGTATTTTGTGCTTATTTTGCTTTTTTTAAAATACTATACGTTCTTTTTTTAGATTGAAAATGATCGTTTACAGACCAAGAATTTCCAACGTTATATTAAAATAAAAACATAAAAAATGATATTATTAATACTATATATTTTTCTTGTCATTTTATAGTTTGATTATTCTTCAAGATATATATTCCATGAAAAATGTTACTGAAAATAGACACAAGGTATGAAATACAATGTTATCAAAAGTCATGAACGGTTTTAGGATTTTCTGCTAAGATTTATACTGATAAAAAGTGCTTACTATAATAATCGAAATCACTGAGAGATGCAACGGTCACAATAATTGGCCCAACGGTGAAGCAGATGAACACATTAAAAATCTAAGATGAAGATCAGTTTGTTTTTTGCTTAACTTAGACGTCTCTAAGACAATGACGGCTAAAGGTATCAAAAAAACCGATCTTCATCGTCTAGACTGGTTACCGGTGAAACACTGACGGTGAACTAATGATTGATTGTCATTGTGGCATCTCTAAAATCAGCCATTCAAAAGTCCAAGCCCACATATCTTTCGAGAAGCTAAATAACATCGAATTTCATAAGAATATGTTCCTAATTTTTTAATACTTTTCGTGTGTCATATGAAAATCTGACAAAAAAGAAACAAATCATAATACACATTTTAACTCAAAAAAAAAAGAAACTATTTAATAGAACTATTGAAAGATCTATTACGATTTCAATTTTCGCGGTCCTTGACATGCATTTTCATTCCACCAGGCATCCATATCATCGATTACATTTGGTGTTGAATCAAGATGTAACCGTAAACAAAGATCACAGAATGGTGAGAAAAATTGAGTTATACCCCATACATAATCTTTTTTCCATGAAAAATATGATAAATATTTCTCTTTATTATCACGTGTTTGTTTAAGATATTGAGCTAAAGAAAGTACATTAGGAAAGTCATTTATATCTATAAAACCAGATGATGGAATAAAATAAGAATAATTTGTTCGTCCATAAACAACAGGTACAATTGGATATTCAAGTGTAGAAAAGAATTTTTCCGCTATTAAAGAAAAATAATTCCTGTTTTGTTTTTCTTTTTGTAAAATGTGATCTTTATACATACTTGTATAATCTGTACAAAGAGTGTTTTCAAAACTAAGAAAAAAATAATATTTTTTCGCAATAAATTCACGACAATCAACATTTTCAGGACATTTTTCACCACATCGTCCATAAACTTGAACATCAATGTAACGTTTTAATTTGTTTATAAACATTAAACGTCCACTTCTACCACCACAATTTGATATTAATGCAGCAACTGTACCTAAATTTTTATTCGCTAATATTTCATCTGAAAGTTGATGATCAGATTTTTTAAAATTTAAATTAAGATTTTTTATTGCATTTTCTTTTAATATAAATTGATAATAATCACTTGATGTATGTATATAAGCATTTCTTGAATAATATGATGCTATTATATGAGATTTAAATCGATATGTCATTGTCCAATTAAAAAATCCTTTATAAGAGTTTAGCTTAGGTGTATATGTTGGTGATTCCCACAGAACAAATACAAAACGTTGATATGGACGACGATTTTTTTCTGCTTGTTTTTTATTAATATGATCACGTATATGATAGACAACAGCATCAGCTTGTGAAAAAAGTTTTTTATCAATTGTTATTTCACAATAATGAGCCAAATATGGACATAAAAGGTGTGTCACTAAAAATCATGAATAAATTTTTTTTTTTTATCATTTTATGTAGTAGATTTTTCTTTTTA